ACACACACACACACACACATATATATATATATATATATATATATATATATAACGTCACTACCACCAATGTGACCGTTTTCCCCGAGCTACGAGTGTGAGGACAGCGAGACGAACAAACGAACGTGTCAGAACAATTCACGTTTATATATTCGGCTCAATGAGATTCTGGACGTAAAGATCGTGAGGACCGAGGTGCAAAATAAAAATTTCAGAACCGGTCAATCATCGACTAGAAAATGGAGATGACAGTTGTACAAAAAGGTGCATGCGGGGGGGGGGCATTTGTAGTAGTTATAACTTTAAAACGTATTCATATACTAAAACAATAAATAGTTTTTACCGTCTGGTGAATTTCATCATCCATAGAGTAAATGAAACCTGAACCGAAAGGCTAGAAAGCACTGGAACAGCTGCCCCCAGGTGGTCGAGTGGATAGTGTGGTTGTGCTCCACCTGGGATCTTGAGGTCGATCCCCAATTGAGTAGATGGACTAGCATTGCTGATCAGACCCACTCAGGTCAAACCAGCTGACCAGTTTACGACGAAATTCACCATATGATCTAAACAAATCCTCCACTGCCGTCATGAAAAATGTTTTTACTTATCATGTTACCGTGATGTTTGAATCACCATCACATCCGTGATCTGTTATTCTGTTTTGCACTTCAGATCTGATTTGCAAGAGCCATCAGAGTCCGATTTGTTGCACGAATTACAACAACACACCTATTTTCGGGCACTCATGGCATCCACGAAAATGGAAGCTCATTCGACATCCGAGTGATTCAACCAGTTCTAGTCCCGTTCACGGTCATTATTATCCGACAAAATTGTTCTTGTCGCATTCGCTCTCGATCACTTTTTATCTCGGTTCCCAAAAGGCGCTGTGATCTGTATCATGATATTGTTCCTCAAATGCTTTCAGTTTTCTGCGAACGTTCCGCGATCCCCGCGGTATCATAACTAAACACTTCCATCCGCCACCAGGGTTCTCAGTCCCTGACCCCACATCACTGCTCCTGTGCCGCATCCTCCTTCCCCGGTCTGTCAACTCTGACTGTTTCTCTTCTCTCGTTCTCCTCTCTTGTATTTTTGTTACCGAAGACGACAAAAAATCACCTGACATTCCAGTTGTTTATACCAAGCTCACATGTTTTTGCCAGTCCTCGGCCGGTGCGATTCGCTCAAGCTTATCTTTCCGGACATGTGTTTGTACTCGTTCATTTCTCTCAGGTGTGTGTGACGGGATTGGTACATTACTACTCAGATTCAACGAGTTTTTCATTCATGAGTGAATAACAGTAACTCAGAATCCAATTGAAGGGGTGTGTGTGTGTTAAGGTACAATACCGAAGGGAACAGCAAATAATCGGTCCCGGCAAAGAGACACGCACATACAGCTTAGAAATCTGTTGTCCCTATGTAATCATCGAGATCATCCGGAACGTAAAACGTGGCAGCTAAAGTCCGACTTGCAGCCTGCCATATTGTCGATGTTGGGGGTAACCCACCCACAGACCTCCTCTAAGCGATTGCACCAACCCAGTATAAGAACGAAAAGACTTTTCAGTCACTGAAACGGTCAGAAAGGAACCGAAAAATGTGCTTTGCTGGTGGGAATTAGATGTGTATCGTGAAACGTGTCGCACTTCAAACTTTAGCAATTTGCTCCATTTGAAAGTGAGATTGGGAGTACTCTTCAGACAAATTCACTATGTATGGAGTCGAACAGCAAGTCAATGCTGTACACAAGCTTCTTTGCCACTAAAGACGATGATCATTCGCCATAAGTTTGTAAATAGCATTGGGAGTATTCAGGGCGTCAGCATACCGCCTGAAAACTACTTTCTTCTGGGGGCAATCAATCCGAGCAGGGATAGCCGAACTCGAGTGATCGGTTGGAACCGTCAACCAAGAAGGTTGGCAACAATTCAGTTGTTCGCGTTATGCATACATTCTCTCGATAAATTACCATGATTTTTACACAAAAAATGATTTCCTACACACCTCCAGGCTGGTTTCAGACCTGGTCGATGCTGTATTGACCACATCTTCACATTTCGTCAAACTCTAGAACATAGACACTCTTTTCGTAGACCCACCATTTCTAGCTTCTTCGATCTAAAAGCTGCTTTTGACTCAGTCGACCGCTCTAAACTCTAGCGCTGCCTTTCCCTGAAGGGGATGCCCGAGAAGTTAATCGCTTTATACTAATAGCCGAAGCCGAGTCTGAGCTTACGGCACTTTTCACCCGAGTTCACCACAGAAAGTGGTGTCCGACAGGGTTGCCCTCCGTCCATTTCTATTTAACTTCATGATAGATTTAATTCTTGAAACAGCCCTATCCTCGTGCAAGGACAGCGGTATCGATTTACTTCCAGGTGGCAGACTGTCCGATCTAGAGTATGCCGACGGTATTGTGCTATTAAGTGAAGATCCAGGTAAGTTGCAAGCTTTTCTGCATAGTTGGAGTGCTAGTGTGTCCATGTTCGGTATGCGTTTTGCACGTTTAAAGTGTCAAGTGCTACTACAATATTGGGTTGGTCCATTCCCCAACCTCACCCTGACCGGATAAGTTGTAGAGAAAATAGACAAGTTTTGTTACCTGAGCAGCTATATCCCATCTGGCGGACGCATCACAGATGAGGTGTCGGCGCGTATGCAGAAGGCTNGGTCGGCATTTGCCAACTTGAGACATTTGTTGGGCCGTCGCGACATCCGGCTGTCTGTGAAGGGTCGAGTGTATGCCGCAGCAGTTCGTTCAGTCCTGCTCTACGATGCAGTGACTTGGCCTTTACGGGAACAGGATAAAAACCGATTATCGGTGTTCGAACACTGCTGTTTACGTAGCATTGCATGAGTCTGGTGGGTAAACCGGATGAGCCATGCTGAGATTAGGCATTCGTGGTCGTCCACTGGAGCAAGTGATCGACCTGCATAGATTACGTTGGTTGGAGTTTGTGTTACGCATGTCACACGAGATATGTTGCCGCGGTGAGCCATGTTTGCCAAGGAAAAAGATCAAGGGTGGTCAAACTAAAACCTGGCATGAGGATATGAAAATCCCAACCAGGAGATTAGGTCACATAGGCCCAATTAGGATCCCTGGCTGGGGACTTCGGGATGATAGTCACCGATGGTTAGAGACACTGAATGATATGGTTGGGTGTCGCAGACTGGCGCTCGTGGATCCACTCATTCCCCTAACACTATTGTATATGAATTCTCCATCTTCCGCTCGAATTTGCTTTCAACGTTTCAATCTTCATTCTGCCCTTTTATCCAAATGGGCAACCAAATCCGGCGCACGAAACTGCATGGTTAATGGTTGTAAAGGTTGAAACTGAAACTACACGCCTCCACTCGTGTTCTATTTCGCTATCTGGACGAGAGCCGTGAGTGGGAGACGATATTTTGATAATCTATTACCCGGAGAACTCTATGCAGTTACATTAGCAGTGGTGGTTATGCTATATGGTGTGTAGATCAGTTCACCTCTACCAATCGTTCAAAGTCGTTCAGTTTTGCTGTTAAGCCTTATGTGGTCCATCAGTGATACTCCCGGAATTCCATTGTTATAATATCCACAAGACTGTTTGGGCAAGGAGAGTCATTCCTTCATATAACAGCGTCGGAAAGGAATAAATAAGCTTACATAGACCGAACCATGTAATTAGCAACAATTGGTTCGTGTTTTCGTGATCTTATCGTCATTGGTGATTGTCAGCCTGATAGTGTTTGTCTCTTCTGTATTTGCAATAGTAAATTCTTTAGTCCACTGGAGGATGCCGTTTAAATCCAACAACCGCTTCTTGATGTGTGCAAACTACTCACAAGTGTGAGTAGGACCTAACGACCCTCCTTCCTCGGCGAAAGTAAGCTCTGCACGCAGCGAGCAATGATGTCTTGCTTTTGAGACTTAGAACAGGTCTGTTTCCGATTGACAACTTCTTGTGGTTTTCGATGACCTGGCCAGGAGGTTCAATTTTGGCGGCTCTGTGGCGCACGGCTATTGTTCCAGTGCCATCGTGCTCACTTTTATACTCGCACCCGCCGTCTATCGTTCAGAAGACGTTTTTTCACCTGTATTCTACATGATCTTTTCCGTTTGGTTATTGGTTTCAGCCAGGGTCGCCGACATGGGGCTTCAACTTTGCTTTCGACAATTTCCGTCACACCTGTATTCTTCGCTTGTCCATCGTTTTATCTTGCGATCTGACGGAATATTGGTTTTACCGTCGTGTTCCTAATCGGGATAGTGCGATCTGCTGCACCATATGACTGTGACTTGTTTTCAACACCCATCTGTGTACTACTGTATCCCAGGCTTCTGCTGACTCAGTTGACTGGGATTTCGCCAATGAAACTACAGCACGTGTCAAACAAACATGGCGCATTGTGATCCCCAATATCCCTATGAGTTTGAACTGAACGATGATCAGCCCCTCCGGAGGAAGCCTTATCCGGGGCAACGATTTTAACGAAATTAGGTGTTCTCTCACCGAGTTTCGGGACAATTTTTCTGCCATCCCTCTGGCTCTTCGCGCTCGAAATTCCCCTTCTCACAGATTTGACTGGTAGCACACCATGAATGAATCGCAAATTCTCGTATCTATTGGGTTCTACTGGTCGTTACACGATGTCGCGGGTTGAAAAATGTACAAAGCTACCACTGTAATCATGTTTTAGTGGCCTTCATTGACATCCAATCCATGGGGCTGACGAATGAAGTAATTTCCGCAGGTACAAGTCAGATGTGGCAAAACGGAAGGAATAAACAAGAAAGACGCTTGAAGAAAACTTAACATTACTCCAGAGTGGGGAATGAAATTATCAGAATATTTCAAACGGACACATAACACCTGAATGTTCTTTTGAATGCTAACCTCGTCTTCGAATAACCTTTAGACCAACGGCACATGGCAAAATGACCGGGCCAAGTACCGACCGATGAACGCTACTCACAGCCAGTCTGCACACTCGTTATCCTATTGTCGTTTCCACGATTACTAAACTAATGTGTAACAAAACAGTCCTGATCATTCTCCTTCAGCAATCCCGATAGATATATGAAACAGTCTGAATTGAAATACGAAAGCATGAAGGACTAAAAAAATCAAAGTGAATGAATAACAGAACCTCACAATTTGTGGCGCTTAGTCCCGTCTTATCTCTATCCGCATAAGGTATGCTGACCTGCAAGTGTGGCTAGTGATGGAGTTTACTTATAAATCAACTCATACCACACTCCAAACGCCGCATACCACGGCGAACATGGCACAAAGGTCTGTTTGGAGGGAAATTTATCTTGAAGGATCGGGGCCCGTGGCTTTGTGGTGAACCCAGTCTGTCAACTGCTGTGCGCCCAAACTCAGCGTTACATGCACAATCACACTAGTAGCCGTGAACTTGTGCAGTTCGCGTAGTCGGTGGACTGTAACGTCAATTTCGGATTGGACTAAAACTAATAAATGCTAAACAAGATTCGACCGATCGGACTGTGAACTCCAAGCAATTCCCTAAGGCCCTTTTGGGTTGGATAATTCGGTCGGCACCTCAAAGTGAGGTCCCTCAATCCAACCAGTTACATGGCCTACCTTGGGTAACCGTGTGGTACCTGAAACGCAACGATTAGCATGAGACATGGGAATAAAATATTCATATTCTTTTTTGTTTCGTTACTATCCACGGGGTTAGCACTGTCTGGTAGTTTTAGATGTAACGGTGATGTTACAGCTCAAATGTAAACACTGTCGAATCAGCACATAAAGCAAATTCTAGGGCGAACTCAAACGCTCTTGCAACAGAATTGTACACTACAAATAGGTAGAACGCATGTTCACATCAAATTCACAGCGTGAATTGAGAGTTAAATACTTGCAGTTTCTTTGTCTCACACGGGAAAACAGGATCTGCCATACACATGAACCCTCACTGAATGGATTCTTTGACAGAAGTTTCATTTGCAAATTTCACTCGGAGAACTAAGTTGTTCGCCAAGTTTTCAGCCATATGGTTATCAAAGAACCAGCCTAACCTACCTCATGGGGGAAGACCACTGTGAAAACAATAAGTTTTGTATATTAAACTGAAATACCCCAGGCAAAACCCACCACAGATTTGAATACAACAGTTCACGCATCATCTTAGAAGCGCATTCACAAGCATGGAACAATGCCAACTGATTTCGTCGTGAATAGAGCCAATGAAGCGTAAACTAAAAAGCTGTTTCGACCCGACTGGGTCTGATCAGCAGTGAGCGAATCTACTGACCCAAGTGGAGATATCGTACAAATGGCAAAGGAAAAACGGTCTAATCAACTGCCTGGAGGCCGAGTGGGTAGCATGTCTGCGTTCTGCCTGTGAGGTTCCGGGTTCAATTCACAGTTTGGTAGATGGATTCGCACGGCAGTTGATGAGACCCAACCAGTTCGGAACAGTTGTACAGTGCTTCCTAGCTTCTAGATTTGCGCTTCACTTACTCCATGCACGACGAATTTTCTCTTTGAAATCAAAGTAAATCCTCCTCCATATTAGAAACGCAAACTTGTGCGAGATAAATCCATCTCTGTACTTTACAACAGAAACAAGACTATACAAAAGCACAAGGGAATGAGGAGGGGGCTGATCAACCGATTGATCACAGTCGTCCTAGCCACACACTCATCTTCGTTTCCGTTTGACGGCCAATTTTTCAGCCACATGTAACCCGCCCACTGCAACCGGTTTCTTCACCTCTTTTAAACGTTCTGCCACACGTGCACCTTCCCATCGGTTGTCTGTGGTCTGAATTTCTCCGACCAACTGTTTCAGCAACAGTTTGGCTGTGGCCGGTCTCAATCCGACCATCGTTTGTCCCAGTGCCCATGGATCCATCGTTTTAATCATAGGCAAGAGAAGATAATTATTTAGAATCTCTCGAACCCGACGTCCAAGTACCGGTCGAACGGGTCCATTCATAACGTGTCCTGATCTCGCGTGGGACGCACCAGTCTCACTGCGCCCGGTACGACAACAAGCCATTCGGGCCAAAATTGTCTCCAAGGGCATTTTGATTACACGGGACAATTCCGGCCGAGCATCGGATTCGTCCGCTCCGAGAGCACTGTATGGTCGACCGATGGCAACCAAGCAGGCGCACATTGTATCTTCCAATGTGTCCAAATTTTGCGTAGTTGCTGAAGTGAGAATGGGGAAAACACCGTAGAAATGACTGCACCAGTTAAATGGATGAATATCATTCGTCGGTGACCCAGTCGAGGTATGAATCATCATGAAAGTCGTTCCGAGATAGTATTCAAATTACACAACCACCAACCAATTTCGAGTAGTTTTTGACTCGCTTCTCGTTTCTTAAATACGACCTGCACAATTATCTTATTTCATAAAAGGAAACAAAAAATCGGCAAAAAGTATGACAAATCCGCAGTTCGGTGCATTGCAACTTGCCCACGACAATCTTTGTCTCAGACTATCCGACCAGTGATTGCGCGACACACATGGACCTATGTGGTGGTAGCGGTAGTACTAGCCTTCAAAAGCCTCAGCACGGTCGGAGATGGTTGTCTAGGGTTGCGTCTGGTCACCTGTCTCGCTCTGTTGTACCTCGCGAAATGCTCCCACAAGACCAAGCGAGTCCAACAGTTTCTGTTGAGGAAGCCCTACTCACCGCCTTCCTGTGGAGCGGAGGTGTTTTGCCACCAAATTGAGAGGACGAAAAGCCAAAATCAGGAGCTATAACCAGGTCGGCGAGCAATGCACCTATGGGAGTTGGCTAAAAACCCTGATTCCAAACGAAGGTCACATATGTGATTGCTTATCTACGCTACCACAACTGGAATTACAGAATCGAACGAAGTCACGTGTGAACCCCAAGTTCATTCAGTCATGCGTAAAATTGTTTCAGTAATTTTGCTGGTCCGTTGCGCGATACAGTTCACTTGAAAGAGATCAGAACAAACCACTAAAATTTTCCAAGCCAGCAACCTTGTCCTCCATCAAATCATGAGCAAGTATACACCCGGGGTGGCGGGTGGGAGAAATGAACCTGGACAACTGGTTGCTAGTTTGAGCAGTTAAAGAGTATGGTTAGCGGAATGAAAAGGGCAAACATAACATTTTTAGGGTAGCAAGTTTGGATTGGTCCATTCGATTGTTAAGACGCACCAGGCACTGTTGATGTTCTTGGGTGTGAGTTTCACTCCTTGACCGTCGACCGTGTAGCTCAGGGGAAGGGTTTGAAGTCCCGACCCGAATGTTCGCGGCTCGAGTCCTGACAGGGATACAAAAATTACGCATTGCTGAAGAGTCCCAAACAGGACAAAACAGCTGTCCAGTGCCCTTTGTCGGATATCACAAACATTCCCATCGCATGTAGGCAAACATAACAACCCAAATACGCACGGACTTTGATGAGCATTGCGGAGCAACAGAAACCGTAACAAGACACAAATAGCCGACGCGTCGGGTACGACCAGTGAGACTAACCATTTTCTAATCGGTCAATCACGGCCACAACCACATCCGCGATCGCTTGCAGGTACCAGTGTGGCGAGGCCAATATGTTTGAACGGAAAAGTGACTGATACGCGGTGAGGAAACGAGATAGCCACACAACGGAGTTGAGAAAACCGGATTCGCTCATGCGCTGCAACGGCGAGGGATGGGACGGACAAATAAAGGAGCACAATTTAGTCCGTGAGAATGCGCATGGAGGTGAGGGCAATCAAACACAAAATGGAAAGACAAAATCGATTTTCACATCACCGGGCCTAGCCCCAATTTTACTGCAGTTTAACGACATGTCCTCGCCCTTTTGATCTAGTGGGGGATACTGGGTTCAAGTTAAACGACAGATAAACAGTCTGGAAACAGGTCATTCTTGAAAAAACCGAGAATTGCAAAAACAAAGTTTATGAAACCACTTGCAATAGAACAATCAGTTCGAGTGTTAATGAGAATAATCCTCGGTAAAATTCGAGATTGTTTATTATGCATGAAAATAGGCTTAAACGCAGCTTATGAAACATCAATCAGACCTCTGGTCTTGACCAGCTTGGACCGTACGACAACGCAGGGCCCCGAATCTGCTCGCTCGTTAGCACTGTCGGACCACAAACAGCAGATAGCAACAGTTGCATGGTCATAAATTTTCATCTTACTTATGAGTAGTTAGACGCATAATTGAAAATAGTGCGTATGAGTCACTTTAAGACCAAACCTGTGACACAACGATACGCATAAATCGCGCTCGATACTGTCGATTTTACACATCATGAATGAATAGGAGAAGAGAAAACTCCCTCTCGTGTAGACTGCATAAAATGGGGATTTGATAATCAATTCGGATGGAGAATGAGAAAAGCCAGGAGACACCCGGGTTCGAACCGGGGACCTCTCGATCTGCAGTCGAATGCTCTACCACTGAGCTATGCCTCCACTAGCCGTAATCGCAGTAGCCTAACAGAGTAGGTACGATACATTGATGACCCCTAAACAGTAGCCAACATGTGGGTAAGTACAGCGAAATGATCTACTCTGTATTGCGTCAAAGTGCTCGGGCCTCTCTATGCAATTTTGTTACGGGTAAGCAATACTTTTGAAACAGATACAGCAATACGTATGCTAAGCTAAACCGCGCGCCAACCGAATGTATGACCACTACGCTCTAAACTACCAGTGTGTGAGCATAGAATGAAAGAGCAACAACAATTTTTACGATGCGGAACAGAGAGGCAAGAAGATACATGCTGGAAGTGTAGTTCACTCACCGTCTTCACTTTGGACGTTAATAATATACGATTACCGAATAGCTGAGTTTGCATCACTATTGAGACCCCAGTTCTGGGAGATCATTCAATGGTAATAAATGTCATTCCGGGTACTCGTTCCAAGTTAGGGCACTTATATCGTTCATCATCATCACACATTAACATGTCATTCTGCTAAAAGATGTAAATGATGTACACGAAACAGTAGGAAAACTCTAGAGAGAGAAACAGAGAGCGATTATGAAAAAGGATCACAAACACAAAGGTTGAGCGGTTTGGGTGAATGATACGTACCTCGTAGTGCGGATGTACCAAGGCCATAAGCCACAAATAAGATTGTGGCAAACCAGTCAGTAGTGTTCGCTGCTCGCTGGCCCGGTACCACAGTCGCAGCAGGAGGCCATGGGCTTCTTCGTAAGTGGTTAGAGGAGCGGATATGCTGTCTTCCTGGGCAACTTTCTTGTCCGATTTGTGCTGCAGTTTTATGAGAATGTGAGGTGTGCATTTGAGTGCCACAACCCACACAGGAACCGTGTCCGAGGAAGATTTGATTGGTTTAGAAGAGAAGCGGATTAGTTCATGGAGTACCAGCAATACACGTTTGCTTGAACTGGTCATCAATGTTGTTTCCAGCTCTTCTGCGGACATATCGGGGATAAAAATGGACAGGGGCTGACTCGGCTTCTGGCTCGCTGGATCTGTTACACACGGGCGTTTAGACGGGCTTGGCTCAAACATTTCCAAGGGACATACTGTTGGATCATACGGTGGTACAGCCTGAGCTTTGGTCATCAGTCGGTAGTTTGTAGACACGGAACACGAGAATAATAGGTCGAACAGCTTAAACGGTGCTGGTGGGATCGGATATGGTCGACGCTTTGACTGTGATTGAAGAAACTTGCTCAAGACAACGGGCATACATGTATGCTTGATAACGTTTGGATCATAATCTAGTCGAACAGTCAATTGACCGTCGTCCTCCGACATGTCTATCTGTGAAGATAAGCATTCTATACAAGCCTGATAGGTAAAAATAAGAATTCCTAACGACCAAGCTTCTAAACGGGGCATATTGGTGCGCAAAGCAAGCACTTTTGTGCTCAACTGTGGGATGATTGTGCGGTTCAGATGATGGACTGTACGTCGAACATCTTCTGCCTCTAGATCAATACGATCGGCGTTTCGAATGGCCGTCAATTCCAACAGGCATAGACATTTGGAACACAATGCGAACAGGAACGGGGAGGCATTCAGATTCTGTTCTAATGCCTCAATCAGAACGGGCTTCGTATTCTGTCGAACCGAGAGCGGAAGAGGAGCAAATATGGAACGCAGCCCGGCAAGTTCTTTCAGGTAAGAGTCTACCGGTCCTTTGGTGGGAATCACATCATGCAAATTCTTGCGAACGCGATACAATAAAGTCGCAGCTTGTTTTCGTTTGTCGAGAGGTAATGTATTGAGAAATTGTTTCAAATTCTCCGATGATTTGGTGTTAGCTGTGTCCTTATTGTTTGCCATTGAATGATCCAATCTGCATCAGATAGTACAGAATTCAATAAAGGCTGTAAAAGATAAACATGGAACATTTGGATGAGAATTGTTACGTGCAAACATTACGACCGGGTATACGATGAACAAAGAATGCCCGGTTCAAGAAAAGGAAAAATTGACCCTACAAAGTCAGAAGAAAGCTTAGCGGGGAGCTGATTCTTAAGTTATTGGATCTGTAGATACAGCTTCTTGTTGAGTAAGAACGACATCAACGTCACTTGCTGACGTTGTTGTTGTTGTTTGGAATTGATAAGACCATCGAAGTAGAATTTCGAAAAATCAACCAACCAAACCCGTTTGCTATGAGAAAATGGGCAGGAAATCGTCTGATCCCGTTTGGAAACCTGGAGGAATGGCACAACGCTGTTGAAAACTAAGTCTGGAGGCTGACTGATCGCTGAAATCCTGTGGCATGGTCTGACTTCCATGGGAATGCTTACACGAATTTCTATAAACTGGGATATGTTCTTAAGCGTTGTATATCCTTCACCCAAGAGAAGAGTAGTCATTTTCTGTGCGGTCAAAGTCGCATCGGTTATGGATTGAACAGCAGACAAAGATAGGATGAATGGAGGGGGGCGATAGATACGATTATCTGAGGGCGTTTCTCAGGTAAGATACAACAAACTTCGTGTTTATGTTCCCTGTGCAGCGTCATGTTTAGTCAAAAGTTCAAAGAATCTGTATGTAAACGTAGTCTTTTCGAACGCGGAGACTAGGGTCTCTTGATCTCTTGGAAGGAGTGTAATTTTGTGGTTTGTGTGTACTACCGTTGAAGCACGTTACATGGAAAGAGGCTGTGGAAATTTGTTGGCATTTTTACTCAATGGTGCGCTTAGCTACTGGTATTATAGTTATTGTCTATGAGTGGCTTTGTTGAGCGAACTGCACTTTGGTCCAAAAGCCGCGTGTGAGTTGTGTAAGTTGAATTTGTATATGCGAAGGATTGCACTCATGTCCGCTATGAAGAGTACAGTTTCTGAGCGAGGAGTTTGGGGTTTTTATATAATTCTTATCTAATTATTACACTGCATGATTCTTCATCGGATTTCTCTGAGCTTTTTCATGCTTCGAAGTATTTAGTGTCTCCACAGGGATTTATTTGGAAAAGGCTATCTGGGACAACAGCATCGCGATACAAAGCTCGCTGTGGTGAAGGTGGTGAGAAGTGCTGAGAAGTCATCATTTTTGGATAGCCTAGTGCAAAACTTCTAAATTTATATGAACACAACAGACATTTTTTTAATAAAAGTACGGGTTCCGATTGCGGTACGGTTAAGTATTTGTATTTCACACACATTTGAATCCAGACTGTCTCAAACAAATCCAAGTACAATGATTTTTATAAAAACGTACGTGTTATGCTGACGAAGTCGGTTTCACGACTCAGCGGCCGAGACAATGACTCCGTACTCATCAGGGATGCATGGATCCCTGTTCAGCTAGCAACTGACAATGGCGTATGAGCCCCCAGAGGGCCACCGGCAACCTTGCACCACCTTCCTGCTGCCTTGCAGTTAGCACTTGGATGTGCAAAGGCTAGAGATGCCAACTCGACCCAAAGCCGGGTGACGCTAGGGACGTTTCCTGTACCGAACTCCCAAGAAACTCATGGATATTAACTCAAATTGTTTTGCTAATCATGCTACGGCGTGCCCGGGAAGCGACGCGCCCTGTGCTCCTCCAGGGGCCCGGGTGACAAGTATGCGCACTGGACACCTCAAACTATGCAGAACTTCTTACATTGGATGCTGGAATGTAAGA